TAAACAGATCTAATGTGGGTGGCCCTTTAGGTTTTTGCGGTGTGCATTGCTTTTGTGCACAGAGTGACTTGAAAAAGAAAAGCGAAGAAAAGTGATATTTGGTTGTTGTGTGGTTGGAGCCGCTGGAGGAGGAATTGTGGATGACTAGAGAAAAATATGCGTGAAAGCATCGCGAATGCGCTCCCGGGTGTAATGATTTGGTGAGTACGTTCCAGTTGAAGATTTGTTGAAAAGTGTATTTGTGGTGATGCAAATTATGGTTTTGATGACGCATGGCTTAAATAAAACATATTAAATAGAGGAAATGGATGAAATTTCGGCCTAAATGCCCCTAATTTGGACCCATACATAAATTCAGAAAACGACCAAATTTTCAATAACGACCAAAAATATCCATTAGTACAGTTCCAATGACGCGTTCATCTAGAAAAAAAATGATAAATAGCAATTTTTTAGCGATGGGTCCAATCTTAGATCCATAGGCCAACATTAGAGCCATTTCCCCTACTTGTTGGAGATGGAAGTAAAACAGACATACATTGGCCCATACCGAATAGAAGATCCAACTCAAACCCCCCAATGGCTTGACAAGTGACTTAACCTGAATTTACGACCAGACGCTCTTGCCTATAGCGAATTTGTTTATTATTCAGTTCCAACCTGGATCGGGTATCAAGATCGGCTCTGCTTGTTTTCTGACAAACGTCAGTTCGATCGTTTGTTTTTAAAACCTACCTCAGGTTGAGGTTCGTACTGACAAAAAGTTCGGTTTCGGCACTTTGAGATCCAATTATGGGGCCACCAGACACGAATTATGTACCGCAGGCATCGGTTGATAAACACCTGCAGCTTCTGAGTGTTCTCCGCTGATACACACCATGTTTCACTGGCGTGTAACAGCGCATCAGACTTCACGTTCGAGTTAAAAATTCGGATTTTGGTGCGTCGACTGGTCTGATTCGCTCTCCATACATTTCGCAAACTGGCAAAAGCAGCCCTCGGCTTCTTAATCCGTGCACCTATGTCGCTCTTGGTGCCACCGTCCGACGCCGTCTGGCTGTCAAGACATTGGAAGCTTTGGACTTTCTCCACTGCCTGCCCAGGTTTTCCGTGTTGACATCCAACGATTTGGTCTTGTTGACGTTGATGGTTAGACTCGCTTCAGAGGAGCGTTCCACAAGGTCGTCGAGCTTACTCTGCATGCCAGAGCGCCGTTGTGCTAATAACGCAACATCATCAGCCAAATCGAAGTCGTTGAGATGCTCCATGGTAATAGGTTGCCACAGCAACCCTCGGTTCGGTACACGGTCAACGGCTCCAACCATGATCTCGTCGATTACGATGAGGAACAGTAGCGGTAATAATATACATCCTTGCCTCACACCCGCGATTACCCGAATCGGGTCAGACAAAGCTCTGTTGTGCAACACTTTGCATGAGAAAGCCTCGTACTGCGCTTCGATGAGGTTGACGATCTTATCAGGGACTCCCTTGCGTCTGAGAGCGCCCCACAAGTTTTCGTGGTTTAGTCGGTCGAAAGCTTTTTCTTAGTCAATGAATTTGAACTCATTGACCTGCTCCAAGATGATGCGGAGCGTGACAATATGGTCCACACAGGATCTTCCAGCACGGAATCCTGCCTGCTGTCGCCGGAGAGTCACGTCGATCTTCTCCTGTATCCGATTGAGGATAACTTTACACAGAGCTTTGAGAACAATACACAGTAACATGATGCCTCGCCAGTTGCCGCATACAGTTGGATCCCCCTTCTTGGGGACTTTTACCAAGATGTCCTGCATCTAGTCGGCCGGAAAAGTTGATGCAACATTTGTGAGGATAGCATGGGGTCTGCTATCTCCTGCAATGATGGAGCTTCAGTGTTGACGCGAGTAACGCGCCTCACCCTTGACGGATCATGCCGAGATGTTGATGGTTGGTTGACCGTTGAAACTCCGAGAAATTGTTCAAAGTGCTCGAACCAACGTTTCAACTGGTCAGTGGGGTCGGTGAGCAACTGTCCAGTCGCGTCTTTCACAGGCATCCTTGGGCTCATCCTTGACCTGCTCAGGAGTCGTGAAACATCATAGAGGAGGCGGATATCGCCAGTTGCTGCGGCTTTCTCCCCTTCATCCACCAGGGAGTCCACCCACGCTCGCTTGTCCCGTATACAGGAGCGCTTAACTTCCCTCTCTAGAGCCGAATACCACTGATGGGGCCTCGTTCTTGGCTCCTCGGGTCCTTGCTCGCTCTATCGCGGCTTTTGCTTCTCTCCGCTCCTCGATCTTCCTCCAGGTTTCATCGGTGATCCACTCCTTCCTCTGAGTGCGCAGCTCACCCAGGTTGTTCTCGCTTGTTTCAATAAAGGCATTCTTGATGCTCGTCCACTGTTCTTCTACGCTGCCACCTTCCGGAATATTAGCTGCGCGAGCCTCGAGTTCTTCGACGAACGATCTCTTCACTGCTGGGTCTTCCAGTCGGCGTGTGTTGAATTGCCGTCCGAGTCTCTCCTCCCGCCGTTGAACCAGCGCAATGCGTATGCGGATCTCAACGACCAGGAGATGATGGTCAGACGCGATGTCAGCGCTGCGTTTATTCCGAACATCAGGAAGGCTCCGTCTCCATTTTCGGCTGATGCAGATGTGGTCGATTTGGTTCTCTGTATATCCATCACGGGAGACCCATGTGACTTTATGCAGTGGGCGATGGGGGAAGAGCGAACCCCCGATCACCATGTCGTTGTTGCCACAAAACTCTGCAAGCAGCTCGAACATTGGATTATGGTAAGGTTATAGTGTGGAAGAATTATTAGCCAATGCCGTGTGCGCGATCACGGTTTTTGCTAATTAATTAACCCGTTATTGAATAATAATCGTCACAGTGTTATTGAACTGCAGTGGAAAAACCTTTTCTGCTTGAGAGTGCATCAAGGCGGATGTTACTCTGTGCTGTTGTGGAGATGATTATTCATGGCCATTTTGCAGTGTGTGGTCATTCCAGGAGGTGGCTGAACATCGCCATCATCAAACCATTTTCGACGCCGTCATAGCGCCCTCCCAGAACAAAGGCTGCTGGTGCCAAGCTACTTGCTTTTTTCGGTGATGCAGATATCACTACTGGAACTGGATCCGACCATCTTCAAGCAACTGATACCCGATAAGGAGACCTGGTGAGTCCGTTCCATATTATATGTATGCATGTTGCTAGCAGTAGCAATTCAATTGAAAGATAATTCCAACCAAATTGAATTCAACTCCATTTGGTTGACGAAAGTTGGGTGGCTTTTTTGCATTTTTTATAGCCATTGTGGCAATTGGTGGAAGACGGTACGCAACTCAGGTGGAAAACCGCTCGCGCCCCTGATTGCGACACTGCGTAGGATTGGGTTTGTTCGTGACGGGAAGGAGTAATCGTTTTCGAGATAAAACTGCCTTTTCCCGTTCGTATATTTTGCCGTGAAGGCCAATACACCGCGACGGGAAGGATTTGAATCGATCGATTTGTGTGTTTCCCTCGCCGGTTCGGTTTCGCAAAGAAACGTGTAGTTCGCGTCGGGAAGGAGCTCCGTTATCGATTTTCTACCGTTTCTGTACGTTTTCCGTTCGTGTGTTCGGTTACGATGCCGTCCAAGGAGGAGAAAGTGCTCGCCGAAAAAATTATCCAGCGTGAATCGCTGATCGCTACCCGGAACGCTGTGGAGAAGTTCATCAAAGACTTCGAAGCACTGCGGGACGGATATCAAGTCCAAGTAAGAATCGAGTCTCTAGATCGAGTGAGCCATGCGTATTTGGAGGTTCAGGATACTATCGAACGACTAGAAAATCTTGAGGAACATCTTGAGAGTGAATTTTGAGTACCGTTACTGCACGGCGAAAGGTTTCCTCCTGTCGAAACGACCTGTTGATGCTTATCAGGCACAGCTGAACAACTCATTTGCCACTTCTCCAACCACCTTCATCCCTACGTTTACCGCAGATCGACATGCCACGTTTTGATGGCGACTTCTCACGTTGTTTGATTCATGGTTGATCCATGATTCACTCCAATGCTGATAAACCAAGGGTCGCCAAGCTGCAATACCTTTGGCAGCCACTCGAAGGGGAGGCAAAAAAGCCCTTCGAGTCCGTCGATATCGAAGCCATCTTGAGGTACGATAATCGCCGTTTCCTTAAACGTCAGCTGTTCCGGGCGCTCTATGATTTGCCAGCGGTGAAGCAGGAATACTGATGCTAAGCGCATCCACAGCATGGTCGACGATTTCCAGCACCATGTACGGGCACTCGCAAAATCGAACGAGGCTGTGGAACATTGGGATACTCCGTTGGTAAACATGTTGTCATACAAGCTGGCTCAATCCACTTTGCGATCCTGGAAAGAGAAGACTATTGTGAAGGATGACGTCAGGAATGATAAATTGGTATAGTTCCTCTACCAGCTTGTTCGAGTGTTAAACTCCGTCGGCTACGATCAATAGCAGCAACCGGCATCTTCAAAGGTGGCCGGCAACGTTCCGAAACCCACCAAGTTCAAGTTCGCAGCAAACGCAGCTGCATCCTCCAGCTCGAACGCTTCTTGTCCGCTGCCCTGACAACCACGTCCTACGCAACTGCCCAGTATTCCTCGGGATGGATGTACGCCATCGCCGAGATTTCGTGACGCAGAAACGGTTGTGCTGGACCTGTCTGGGAAGCGGACATCAATCGAAGAAGAGTGTCTCAAAGTTCATGTGTCGAACGTGCCACGAACGACATCATTCTCTGCTGCACGATTCTGGTCCATCCAAGATATAATCGAGTCCTACAGGATCTTTATCCTCTTCTGTAAAACAATCGATTCCATCCACAAGTGTGAGATCTTCCGGTGCGAGCTCCGCTGCACCGAACGTTAACATGGCAGTTCAAACTGCATGTAACATGGTTTAGCTGGAAACGGTCGTCCTGAACGTCGTCGATAATCACGGTCGCAGACATCAGGCAAAGGGCCTTATACTGGACTCAGCGTCAATGTCCAACTTTAATTCGAAACCGCTGGCGAAGCTGTTATTCAACCCTCGCTCGAAGGTGAACATATCGATAGCAACGGTTCAATCGAGAACACATGAATTCTCCTCGAAGTTTCAGTTCCTAGTCCTCAAGAATTCGTCGCCGGAGCTACCGACAATGTCGATCATCATTTTGTCATGGAATTTGCCGGAAGTTGCACTTGCAGATCCACAGATCCACGTCCCAGGAAGGATAGACCTCATCGACAGTGAAGCCTTCTGGGAACTCCATACTGGTCGGAAGATGTCATTAGGAAAGGATCTTCCATGGTTGACTGAAAAACCCTTCGGATGGGCTGTCGCTGGGACTGCATCCATTCAGTCAAAATGCATTCCTCGGATCTGCAATCTTTCGACAAAGGACGATCCTCTAGAAACCGCACTCCTTAAGTTCTGCGAAATCGAAACTATCTGTCGAAGAAAATTGCTGTGAGCAACACTACGCCGCGACCACTACTCGTGATCCACCTGGGAGGTACATCGTCAGTCTTCCTCGAACCGAAAATCCCGAAGTTGTCCTAGGAAGCTCCCAGGAAATCGCAAATCGTCGTCTTAGATGCATCGAACGGCGACTCGAACGTGATCCTGCTACCAAGGATGCATACCACCGCTTCATGGACGAGTACCTCGACCTAGGGCACATGAAGAAGCTTGACGAACCGGTAGACGATGACATTCCTCATTGCTACATCCCGCACCACGCTTTATTCAAGGAGTCGAGTACAGCAACGAAGGTCAGGGTCGTATTCGACGCGTAGTGCAAGACGTCGTCGGGATATTCACTGAACGGCACGTTATTGATTGGTCCAGTCGTTCAGGAAGATCTTCAAGCACTAGTGCTGAGGTTTCGCATTCGCTTCGTTGCTATTACTGCTGACGTGTAGAAAATGTATCGCCAAATGCTTCATGTCCCCAGCGACAGAAGGTTTCTACGAATTCCCTTCAGGAAGAACGCCAACGATACGATTTCAACCTACGAATTGCAGACAGTCACCTACGGTACTGCATCTGCCCCGTTCCTGGCCACGAGGACTCTGCAGTAGATCGCTCTGGATAATGGGTATGAATTTCCAGCTGCTGTAGATGCAGTCATCTACTACTTCTACGTTGACGATTTTTTCTCTGGTGCCGACGATGTAGAATCTGCCATCCAGCTTCGCCAACAAGTAACTACTATGCTTAGTGCTGCTGGATTTCCAATCAAGAAGTGGGCATCAAACATTCCCGAGCTTCTCCAGGACGTAACACCGGAAAATCTGGCCCTTAACCCTCTACACGACCTTCAAGACGAGCAAGTAGTATGACCTAAGAACTAGATCTCGACTGCCGAGCTCCATCATCGATGTCATTAGAAGCCGATATCTACTGAAATTCGAAAACGTAAGTGGAGCTGATTCAGCCACACACTACGAAAAAGGGGTGAAACCAAAATCTGCTAGATTTTAACCCGGCAACAGGACATCGCAACATCGCAAACCCAGGGATTCATGGCGGCGGAGCTTCAACAAAGAAATCAAGAAGGTCGGCAAAAATGTGTCTTTCACGTTGGCTCTATGCACCACTGAAGAAGCTTCGCAGGATACTTGAGTGAGTTGAATCCCCTAGTTAGAGGGATTCATCTCTGTAGAGGGATTTTTCGAAATTGCAAAAAAAATGTTTTTATGAACCTCGAACAAACAATGGCCGTTTTCAGTGTGAATTGCTCACTACAATTTCAGAATTATGGACTCGACGAAGGAACAAAAGCTAGAGATGGAGGAGTCCGACATTGCATCGGATTAAATTTTCTAATTATGAATTGTAATGATAGGGTTATGGCTATACGTTCCTATTATGGTGTGTTCCAATTATGGCCTATGAGAATTCCATAGGCCATAATTGGAACGTATAGCCATAACTGGCCCTAATATAACATTATAGGTAAGTCCTTCGGCTCCGTAAGGTTTTCTTTTTCCAAGCCGTTGACTAAGGTCTAATAAACGAATTGTTAAAAAGCGGAATTTTTAAACGCCTCAATTCCATAAATAACGCATGGTTAAAGGACCCCACCGGTAACCGCTTTTGCGTTAACGTTATCTTCAAACAGACCCATGCAATGGAATCAAAAAGCCAAACGTACCGTGAATACGACATTTTTTCCCGAATCGTTCAGGTTGGTAGTTGTTACCTACATATGTGTGATGTGTTCTGGATGGATCCACCATATCAATACTGTTCAGATGGTGAGCACCTTTTGTGGCAAAACGTGTTTTAAAAATAAGCTAAAAGTAAATCAGTCAGTAGTGTACCTGTAAAGTAAGTCTTGCTAATCCAGAAAACAAAAATGGCGTAGAAGTCTTTCAAGTCTTAATCAATAAGAAATTGCAAATAGGTACGTAAAACGATAAGGGGATGGCAGTAAGACAGACCTCAAATAACTTTAAATCGAAATGCGTAACATACTCACTGAAGGGACTACATCAGCATCTTTCCGTCGAAATCTGCCCTAATTTGCTGTATCTTTTGGTAGATAAGTGAGAAGCTAGGTCGATCTGCAGGTTTTCGACTCCAGCACTTTCGCATCAGATCGTACACCGTCAAAGGCGTATTTTCCGGACAGCTGAGCATGTTGCCCTCCTTGACGAATTTGACGACTTCTTCGTGCGTCATGCCATAGTAGGGTTGCATGGCGAATGAGAAGATTTCCCACAGGCAAACACCGTACGCCCAAACGTCCGATTCGATTGTATACTTATTATAAAGAATGCTTTCCAAAGGCATCCAGCGAATCGGGATGGCATCATTTTCGTCTCCTTTGTAGTAGTCCTGCAGATAGATTTTGTGAGACAGGCCGAAATCAGCAATCTTTACCACCATATTGTCATCGATCAAGCAATTTCGTGTGGCCAGATCTCGGTGAACAAATTTCCTCTCCGAAAGATAGACCATTCCGGATGCGATTTGTGATGCTATACTGAGCAGATCGCCGTGGGACAGCTCAGTGGTGATGTTATCTGCGCGGTTTTGCTGGGCGAAAGGCGAACACTGCCGGAGGAATTCATTCAAATCGCCACGTGCCATAAATTCAAACAGCAAGCACATTGGGCTTCCAATGGCACAGACCCCCAGCAGCTTTACAATGTTGGGATGATCGAATTCAGCGAGTAGGCATGCCTCCCGTTCGAAATCAACCTGCAGATCTTGACTAGCTTCGTCTTTGAGCATTTTTACCGCCACCAGGGTAAAATCTTCTCCCCCTATCAAACCGGGAGCCTTCGCTTGGAAGACGCGCCCAAACGCCCCCTGACCTAGATCCTTAATATAAATGATATTATTTCGCGGGAACTCGAGTTTTTCTAATTTAGGATTCAGTTGAGCTCCGGTTCTATGATAATTTACATTGCTGGGCAGTTTGTTAATGTCGATACCTTGAGTATCCTGCGTCGAGGTGGTATTATATCCGGCGGCTCCCTGCCGTCGGTTCTGATTGTGCTGAGCTATTCGGTAGCACAGGAACACCATCAAATGCAGCAGGACGATTGCGACGAATCCAATGCCAGATAGTAGGAAAATCATTGAAGGAGTGAATACCGATTCCATCACAATGTTTACAGGTTTCTTGGTGGCACTAATGTCGGTCGAATTGGCTTCAAAAGAAAAAAAAAACATGATTGAATTTATCCAGGAAGGTCACTTTTTGATCGGGTAAAATACTTACGACAGAGTGGGATATCACACGCTTGCCAACGGACGGTTTTATCCGTCGTGTAACACCAGGGAGTTGGTTCTTCGCCACCAGCGTTTCGACAATAGTTTTCCGCGTCCTGCAGCTCGGCGAATACCAACGGTGGCTTATGATGGGAATGCGGTTCCTGAGAGTCCCATTTTTGGCACGCTATTCCGGTGACGGTAACGTTCATATTTCCCAAATAAAAGCGACCATTTCCCATGCGGCAGTCGTCTAAAATCATCAGTAAAATATTCCTTAAATTAAACTGAACCCGCATGATTATTGCAATCTTATTCCCTACATGTAACTTCTTCTTGGACCAACTCGGTAAGGCCAACGTGCGAGCAAGTGGAGGAACGAGCACTTTTGTTAAACCTCGGAAGTTCCTCACAGTTCGGCAACCGGAAGTGACCTCTCGACTTGATTACATCGCCACGCTCCTTCTTCTCCTCGATAAGTGCCCAATCATTGTAGCAAAATTGTAGATGAGTGGCCACGCAGTCTTCATAACATAGTGGCAGTCGTACCGTAACCCCATCTTTGATGACACATTGGGGAAACGCATAAGCACAAAGCAATTTCTGTAATTGATTCAATTTCGGGAAAATTAGAAGTCATGCATAAGTCAACTGCAACATATTTCTGCTCACCTCGGCTGCAGGTCTACAGTAGTCCGGTAGATCATTGATCAACTCTCGAAACAAAGCAGCGGTTATCTTCTCATTCTCCCAACCTCCAGCGCCGTCCTCTCGGCTGTACCAAACTTGCCGACTATTGACGAACGATTTGCAAACCTTCCCATTGTACGGAGCACAGTATCCTTCCTCCTCATCCAGTGGATCGTCCCAGTCTCCTCCCACTGTAGAAGCACCGTCCCGAGCTGCAGCCGCCGACACTGGCTGTACTCTTCCGGGTGTGGTTCCAATTACGACCAAAGCCAGCAGAAATAATGCAAACGATTGTTGTTTTGCCGCTGCCGTTTTATTCATGGCCTTTCTCTGATTTTGCTGCTCCCTTTCGACGCTATACTCTTCATCCGCAATCCGAAGATGCCCTTTGTATTTGATTGCTTTTGCGTCCTCTCGCGGTCGTCCCTTTTCTTCAACAACTTACGTATATACAGCGACAGCAAATCTCATCGAGTTTCGCACATTTAATATTTCATTTTTCAGACCATTCTCTGCTCAATTTCTGCGAAGATTGATTTCACTTATTACTCAGAGCTAAAAGCACGTAGTTAGCGCAGTTTTTGGTTCGATTTTTACAGTCATTAATTAATAAATTGCAAAATTTGTGACCCACTTTGAAATTAGCTCTGTAATTTGCGTCCATTGACAATTTTTGTGTACCTTTTTGTTTTTTGACAGATCTTCAACAAAAAAAGTGCTCAAAATGTAAAAAGAGCTCAGTCACTCAATTTTAGAGATGTGTGCTATCAGAGTGAGTGAGCTCTGGAACCGGTATATATTTGGCATAAGGTTCTTTGGCATATGGACGTTTAGCATAATGGACGTTTGGTTTAATGACGTTAGGCATAATGAACATTTGGCATGAGTTAATTTACAACCGTATTTACAACCAGTGATTATAATCCTTTCCATTACCGTTAAATGAGCTGCTAATTGAAGTAAATCCCATTTGATTTTCCTTGACAGCTGTCAGATTTATATTATGGTTGCGTTAGTGCGTACGTTCGAGTTGAGGTAAAAGATCTTTCAGCAAATTAGCTTTGCTTAATTGCAAATTAAGATCATTGAGGATATCGGTATACTGATTAATGGCTGAGTTCTTTTTGTTTGCTGAACATCAATAGTAGGTGCAGGAAGGAAAATCAAAGTCTTAAGCGGATGCGCATATGCTGAAAAGAGAATTAATCGTGTTTTGTTGTTTTTACATCATCCACATTCAGAGGGCCAGTCACTTAGAATGTATGGGAATGGTAGGAAACCATTTGGAAATGCATGAAAATTTTCAGTTTTTATTCATTATCGTCTTTATGGGTAGTTTTAGATGCACAAAAATTGCACGAGTACATTACTATGGTGATAAGGTAAACACTCGTTTATTTGTTTCCTTCTGTAAAAGCATGTTTAGTCACAAAACGTGGATTTTCTGATATTCTCCCATACTGCAAAAATGATTTTCCTACCACTGAAGGGGCGGCATCTCTCGGATCTTCAATATAGCTACAACTCAAATCATATAATTAATTGGCACCCACATCTTGTGCCTCCGTGGAAGTAAATAGGTTTGAAAATATCACTATCAGCCAACCTGATGGAAATGTTTTACTTCCAATAGGAACTCTTGTACATCTTGTACACCTCCTACCGTATTGATAAACGGTCTCACACAGTAGCTCGTAAGTCAAGATGGCTTCCGATCCTAATTGCAAAAGAACCTTTGTCATCCTCAAAGGTTGACTCACTCAGGTTAATCGTCAAGGAGGATCCCTACTCGGCTCGACCAATGTGGCCATGCCACGGTCAGCCGATTCCCGCCAACGAGGAAAGACGCCTGCCAACCAAACGTGGAAACCTGGGTCGTTCATGGTTGAGGATATCCGCCATTCTCCCAATGCAGCACTGTTTGCAGCTCGCACTGCATTTTTCGGCCGAGTTTCCGGCAACACTGTAGTGCAGAACGAAGCAGAAGCAGGCGTGTGGGCCAACGCTAGCGTCGTGACGCCATAGGTGATCCCACTGCAGCATTGAGTTAGTACTACATTCCCTAAACCCTTGCCTACATGCCACATATCTGTATAATTGATATATCTTATTGATACAAACAAAGAAAATTTATTAGCTAAATTAAAAAAGTCGTTGGCAAAATTAAAAGTTTGCATTGGTTCTTTTTGGTAGAAAGCAGAAACATTTTAAAGTAAAAGCTTCCACGTTCTTAAATCAAAAACGTCACTTATTCATGTTTTTAAAAGTCGGAACTTTTAAACCGAATTGTAGAAATGTCAAACTAAAAATGTAGGACTGTCGAGGTGATACTTGAACGATTTTAATTCAAAAACAAGTATGTTTAATATTAAAGCTTCCATTTTCATTTTATACTCGATTTTATATGCCTTTAAATATTTCTTGAAAGTTTTTAACAACAGATTGAGCAGAGACGAGCCAGCCAACGGCTGAAAGTCTCCTTAATAAAGATTTAAAAAAAAAATTAAAGGGTTGTGTCCTAGACACGACCGCAGTATGACCAACAATCAATACGAAACTAACGATTTTAAATTGGCTCACCACTTTAGTAGCCTATTGGTCCCAAGCAAACGATTAACGTACCCTATTCTAGTCGAAATTCTAGTACTACGCAATGTTTGTTTTGATTCGCTATGAAAGTTTGACAGATAAAATGAGGGGTTATTAGTTTTTCCTATGTTTCGAGGGGTGAATCGATTAGCTTGGGACCGAAGAGAGTACCAGAGCTGAGCCAAAAAGTTGAGCACGTTATTTCAGGACCTTCTAGTCTTAGAGTTACCTCTATGGTATGACGTAGAACCACACAAAATTGATGTTGTTCATGCATTTTTGACTATTATACTTTATCTTAAAATTTTCAAGTATTTCAATGTTTCGGTTATGGTTGACTCAAAACAATTTACACATTTTTCTTGACAAATATCCATGTGAAATTCCACATGATTTTCATTTGACTACACATAAACAGAATCTACTCAGAAGTACACACATAGATGAATACTAAGATGAAACTGTCGGAAGAAAAACTTTCTATTTTAGTGTCCTTTTTCACGGTCCCTTTTATCCAATGAATACCCCCCGTATTCAAGGTAATTTTGAGGTTTTGCTGCCCCTTTGATAGAGATGAAATCTCGCCTAACATTTCAAAAGGTCCTATCTAACATTTCAATCTTTTCGAGAAAAACGAGGTTGAAGATTGACAAAATCTTTTTTGATACTATTTTAAAGCAAATCAACTTTTGACATTTTTAAGACCTTTAATAGTAAAATGCGATAGTAAAATTGAAATTGAAATTATAATCTACCGGTTTCATACATTTTTTTCAATGAAAACGTGAAAAATGTTACATAGGACATTTTGCTCTTGTCAGGTGTACATTGGATATTTCAGTGCTAACATTTGAAAACGGCGCAAAAGCCATTTGTAAACAAATGGTTTGTGGGCCCTTTACTCGCTACCCGAAGAACGCCCACGCAAACCAACAGCATCGTCAGGAAGGGGAAAATTTCCCCTACCCGATGTTGCTGTTGTGTCGCGTGGGTGTACTTCAAGTAGTGAGTAAAGGGCCCACAAACCATTTGTTTACAAATGGCTTTTGTGCCGTTTTCAAATGTTAGCACTGATTTTATATAGGACGTTTTGTAATAATGACAGTTACATAGGTCTTTTATGTTTTCAACATTATTTGTTTGTTTTTAAGCATTATGAGTGTATAATTTAAGTTATACGAGTTAAACGAACAATATGAGTATTGGACAATACATCAACTTTTTTTGAACGATATATCGCAATACTGCCCACAGATTGTTTTGGTCGAGCGTTGGTGGTCGCTGTTGATAACAGTGTTATTTTAGGGGCTGTTCACTAACTATGTAGACAGCTTTTCGGTACGCTTGACCCACCCTCCCCATGCGTAGACAATTGTCCATATAAAAATTTTAAAATTTGTATGGGTCGTGGATAATTGTCATTGATAATTGGTTAGGAGAGGTTAGGAGAGGGGAGATTGTTGTGAAAGGGGAGGGAGAGATGTTGTTGTGAAAGGAGGAGGGGGTTTACATCATTACATTTCCTCATTGTGGTCACGCCGTGATCCATCTTTAGCCGCTGATTTGGTCCTGCTTACTGCAGGACCAAGTGCCACGCCGTCCGAAGCGACAATGAGCAAAAGCATGACAGCAGCGCTGTTTTATATCTTTTCCGGTTCAGAACCTGATAGGATTTCCCGCAGTTTTTTATGAATAGGGCGGAACAGAAAGTTTCTTTTGTGCAGAATATGTCAAATAGGATGAACTTTGGATGTTAATATACAGGGTGATTTGGAATAGCTGTCCCTTTTAGAAATGGTCATAACGATTGAACGCTTGCATGAATTTTTGATATCATTATATTCCAGATATTCTACATATATAACCTTCAACTAAGCATAGTTTATTTCAGATCTCTCTCTCTTTACCTTAATTACCAGCCACATTTGTCATGAAAATTAGCCACAGCTGGCACGCACGCTTTAGTTCCAGCACTTTTTGAGTCCTGGTGATGCGTTTAAGCTCTGACATTGAACGGATTTTCCAAGCATGGTTCCTTTGTACCTCTATAATGATGCAAAAATAAATGTAACATTCTTTCGAAGAGATTTCAGTTTCTAAAAGATAACACACGATTTTTTTACAGATTTATGCCATGCTTCATTATGACGTCAATGGCTGCTTGAAATCACAAACGAATGAAATTTCAAAGCCTACTATCAATACTAGCTGATATTTGTACACATTTAAAACAAAAATACTTGAACATATACCCATTTTACCCATTGAAGCCTGGTACGCAGCTGAAAAGAAAACGGAAAAGTAATTTTTGAGGAATATTCCCAAAAGTAAATTTGACAGCTATAGGGAGGTGTCTTTTGCTAAATTTTGAGATCATAGGTAGGTGTCGTCTAATTTTAAAATCAACAATTATCAATTTTTATGTTGTTAAAATGCATCCAAAACACCATTTTTACAACAAACGTTAAAATTACCTAACGGAATAATTGGTCAGACCATTATTCCGCAAGGAAAATGAAATTGCATTCAGAATGCGCCACCTTCATATCGATCACGATACTAATGTAATCGATCTTTCCTTTACCGATTTCTTTTGAACTGCGTACTGGGTCAAGAAATGCTAATTAAAAGAAATTTCTTTAGCATTCCGTGTCCTATCCCGTAGCACGTAAAAACGTCATTACTTTTCAGCTGCGTACCAGGCTTGATAATTGAATATTTGTGAACTCGGTGACATTTATTCTGAATCACCCTGTAATTGCATATATAGAGGCACCAGATATGTTTTACAGTCAGTTGTTGGTTATTCATCCAGTGTATGTCTCCTATTAAGCAATATTTTTTTTTTTGAAAATGTTGGATCTGCATGTAAAAAATTAATTGTTTATACATTATTAGGGTTTGCTTAAAATTTATTTCCCGAAAAAAATGATCGTTAAAGTCCATGTCTTTTTCGGGTTATTGTTAAGGGGGAGGGGGAGGGGGTTTTACATACACGTTTTTTCAAGTTTCATCCCTCATTGTGGTGGACACGCCGTGATCCACCTTTAGCCGCTGACCG